CCTTAATCAATAAAGAAATTAATAAATATATATATGTATGAGAAGTAAAAAAAATTGTATTGAGTGCCAGCTCTGTGTAAGACTAGATCAAGCCCCTTTCATTACCTATCACCTGCACAGGTCATTAAGAATGAGGGGGGAGGGAGACAAAGAATGAGGAGCATGGGGAGCATTTGAGTTGTGCTCCCCATATATGTCATCCGTTTAGCTCAAACTCTTCCTTCCATCAGAAAGAAAAAAAGAATGAAGAACATAACATTTTGAAAACATTTCCTGTAGAAAAGCTGAATAATAATAACTAATAATAATCCATCAGCCTAAGCAGAAAGCAGCCTTTACTAGATGGATAAAATTACCTGAGGAGTACAATGAATCTACTGAATAGCGTGCGTCGGCACCCACACACTTGTGCTATTTGTGAAAGTAGCATTCTTCATTCAGCTTTGAAGTCACACCTGGTATTCAAAGCCTATCTGTTTCTCAAACACGAGGCCCATGCATGCTTTTCCTTTTTTTTAATATACATGTTGCATTGTCTTCTTCGCTGGGAGAATTTCAAGGTGTGGGCTCTTTTCTCAACAGGAGCAAGTTAAGAGGGGAAAATGTCAATGTGATTTTATTGTGTGTTCAGTCTATTGATTCATTCCTTCCTTGACCATTGCTGCATGCCTGCTGTGCCGAAGGCATCAATTAATGCCAGGCACTGAGATAGCGGGGTGAATGAGACAGAGTTGTGCCCACGAGTAGTTCACAATTTAGAGAGAACACACACAAATTACAGCAATTTAGTGTTACAGGTGCCATGACAGAAATTTGCAAAGTCATTATGGTAGAAGCCCAAAAAGCTATTAGAGCTCACTCTTCGAAAGGTCATAAAAGACTTCATAGAGGAGATGGCAAATGGCAACTTGGCCACAAGGGTATAACATGGATTCCCATTCAAACACCCGCTTCCTATGCATTCTGTCACTAGGTGGCTAATCTCTCTAGATCCAAAAGAATTTACTTCTGGCAGTAATGATAGACAAGCTTAGGAGGTGTGTTGGCTTGATCCCATGTGTGAGATGTTTTCCTTTTGTATTGAATTTATTGGGGTGACATTTGTTAATAAAATTATATAGATTTCACATGTACAATTCTACAATACCTCATCTATGTATTGTATTGTGTGTTTACCACTCCAAGAGTGAGATGTTTTTAACTGAGGTTTGTGGTTTGCATATTATTCTACAGGAGAATCCACACTTACTGTCCATCTTTTCTGGTTCTCCACTCGCTGACCTGCGAACAAAATAAAGCAATGGCTGTAATTTATTCTGCAAACATTTTCTGGCTCAGTATTTATTAAAGTTGCACATCCTACATTTGTGCCTTTGCTATTTAAAATATATCTGGTTATATTTGAATAAGTTTTGTAGTTTAATTAATAGTTTTGTACTAACGTTAAATATCTTTATTTTGAAAATTGAACTATGGTTACTTAGATGAAAAAATTGGGGAAGTTGGGTGAGGGAAAGCTCTGTACCAATTTTGCAACTTTTTAGAAAATTTAAAACTAGTTCAAAATTAAAGGTTAATAAGTATAATGTGAATAAAAATTAGTATGCACGTATGTATGTATATGAGATCAGTGCTATTCTGTGTATTCCACAAACTATTACCAACCACACAAACTAAATATGAAAGCAAGAACATAGAAATACTTATAACCAGTTAACATTTCCAAAATATTTAAGTATATGAACATTTTCTTAGAAATGTAATTTTATTGCATTGGTAGGTTGTCTACTGGCAGAATTCCTCTTGCTCAGGGGAGTTCAGTCTTTAGTCTATTAAGACAGTCAACTGGTTGGATAAGGCCTACCCACATTATAGAGGTAATCTGCTTTACTCAAAGTCTACTGAGTTCAATGTTAACCTCATCCAAAAAGAAATTTTTTTTTTAACATAAACATCCTGAATAATAATGTTTGACCAAATATCTGGGCTTCCTGGTCCAAAAGTACAGTCCCTACAGGACCATTGCTCTAATTTCCCATGTCAGTAAAGTGATGCTCATGGTGGTACAACCCTCTGCATTCTATGAAGTAAGAAATGCTGGCTGTTCAAGCTGGATTCAGAAAAAGAGGCACAATCATATTTAATTGTGACCATTCACAGGATACTGGAGTACCCCAGAGAATTTCACAAGGTTAGTCTGTGTTTTATAAGTTCAGTAAAATCTTTAACTGCATGGGCTGAGAAAAGCTATAGGTGGCTCTGAAAAACATGGGCATGCCTCAGCACTTGCTTTGTCCTAGTACATAACCTGCTTTGTGGACAGGAAGCCACTGTCCGCACAGACTATGGAGAGACAGAATGGTTTTCTATAGGCAAAGGTGTCAGGCAGGGGCATGCTGTCCCCCTATTTGCTTAATCTGTATGCAGAACATATACAAAAACTGAGCTTGGACTCAGAGGAGGAAGGAGTGAAAATTGATGGAAAAATATCAATAACTTAAGATATGCAGATGATACCACCTCACTGGCAGAAAGTGGCAATGATTGAAATGATTTCTGGTACAAGTGAAAGAAGACAGTGCCAAAGCAGGACTGCATTTGAACATCAAGAAGACAAAAATTATGACCATGGAAGAAATGCACAATTTTAAATTGACAATGAAGACACTGAAATTGTTAAAGATATTGCTTACCTTTATTCATTTTTTTCACAGAGCCCCTAGGCCAAAAGAAATACCTAACAGAAATATGTATGCAACAGTTAGGTCCTAATAATTTAGCTGCTTGGGGGGGGGGGAGGGGAAACACACCAATATACATAAATCGAAAGAAAAAATATTTTAATTTTATTCTTAACCACAGTTGCTTATAAAACGGTCGGTAATCTGAACATCATCTCAAATCTTGGAAACTGTGTAGACACCACCACCTGCACAGCTTGCTTCACACTGATTTTCAGTTGGTACTTGCGTTTGATAACAGCTGAAAACCCCACTTCTCAAAGAGAAGACATCTTTGAAAGGAATGGAGAGCAATCTAACGCTGAAACTATGAATCATCTTGACCTGGTAGTTCATTCACTTGGCATCCAACTGATGTCAAGTATTACCATGTACTCCTTGACATTTTAACATATGCCACAGCGCCCTTGGGAGTTTGCTGTAATGTCCTGGGTACCTGGATGATAGTTGAGGATTCATAGTTCTATTCTTTTTTTTATATTTTTCAAACATATTTTATTGATATTTTTTACAGAGAGAAAAAGAGAGGGATAGAGAGAAACATCGATGAGAGAGAATCATCAATCAGCTGCCTCTTGCACACACCCTACTGGAGTTGTGCCTGCAACCAAGGTACAGGGCCTTGACCGAAATCAAGCCTGGGACTCTGATCCCTCATTTGCAAAATGATAAGCATCTATTTTAAATGGCTAACACTCAAGAAGCTGTGTTCTTCCCTCCTCTGTTCTTTGTTTATGGTGAAGGTTATCGAAGACTGGAAGACCCCCCAAAGGCCAGGTCATCCCAAATACGTGCCTCTAGAGAGCATAACAAAATCTTTGGCTCTGTTGTATATTTAAATAAGAAAACCATTCTCAACTTTGTTCATTTTCTAACAATTAGATCAAGACTCGGAGCAGAACAAAAATATGTATGATTTTGTACCTCGCTCACTAATTTTTAATCATTCTCAATTACATCTTAATCTAATCCTGATTTTTCTATTAAATTGTATGATTTCATTTACCCTAAATTTCTGTCATTGTAGTCAAAAGTCCCTTGGATAATGTAAGTGGCTCTGATAGGAGCACACTGGGGCTTAAGCATAGATCAAAATTAAAAGCCTATTTCTTGCCTTTTCTTCATTATTACTGTTGTCAAGATCATCAAAATATGAACTACTTATCCTGTTTGGCTGCTGTCAACAGTTGGGAAGACGGCCTCCCTCTGACTCCTGTTTCTAGCTTTTTCCTGGCTGGTTTTCCGTAGGCAGAGCAAAGGGGAGAGACAGACACATATATCTCTCATATCTTCTGCAAGACTGTCTCTTCCCAGCAACAACAAAAAAGGCTTCCTTGCTCGCTCGCTCTCTCCTCCCTTTTTATGAAAATCTCCTAGCTTCTTTTATCTTCTATCTACTGCCAGCTACCCACAGTGGATACAACCTGCCTTTGATATCGACTTGCTGTCTTATAATGAGGACTATATTCCCTTTCCATGGAGAAATCCAAGCTTATCAGAGCATTTTGTTTTAAATAATGTTTTTATTGATTTCAGAGAGAGGAAGAAAGAGGGAGAGATAGAAACATCAATGATGAGAGAAAATCATCGATTGGCTGCCTCCTGCACACCCCACAACCCAGGCACAGACCTGATGGGGAATCAAACTTCCTGGTTCATAGGTGCACACTCAACCACTGAGCCACCACCACGGCTGGGCAGAACACGCTTCTTAAAACCCCTTTCCTAGTGAACAGAACATCACTGTAGACATGGCCTAGAGGGGTTTTGCGCACAGGGACAGGCATCTGATGGCAGCCCTCCACTGCTGTCCCCATTTCCCCAGCTTGTGGAACTTCCCACTTCGTTCTTGCTGGAGCTATTCTGTGAACCAGATGTCAACAGACATAGTGGATCTTTTACGCTTTAATCTGTGTAACATTTGAAAGTGTTGAAAGAGTTAGGTGCGTTATTCATTCAACTATAGCTACTTTATTGTACTTTCTGATTACCTGGGGGAGGGGAGCTCTCTGCAGGATACCCGTTTGGAGCAGGTATCCCAGAAGCCACCTCCAGCGTTGTGTTTAGAATCCGACTGGCACTAAGCCTTCTGGAAAGGCTGATTCTTGGTGTTTAGGAAAAATTAAAGGCCTAGGAAAATACAGGGGCCAGAACAAAGCAGGTCTGACTTCACTTCTATCCCCAGGAGCAAGCCAAGGAAAAACACCTGCCTCTTCTCCTGAATGAGGGTTCCTTTTGAGAGAAGAGGTAGGAGATTTCCTTGCCTTGCTCCTGGGGATAGAAGTGAAGTCAGAACTCCTTTGCAACAGTGAGCGACTGATTCCTCATCAGAGGGCCTCATGCTTTTGCAGAGCTGATGTCACGCGTGGTCAATGGAGGGTCTCTCCCAGCGAGAGCTGACAGAGGAAGAACCAGAGAAACAGTACAAACCGCATCCCTAACCATGACACACATTGGAAAAACGGGAGGACATTTTTAGAAGCAAGAAGAGACACGGGGCCACCCCCAGATCTTCAGACACATTTTTTTTTTTTTTTTCCTTCCTGACTCATCGGGTTAGGAAAGCCTGGTGAGAAGGGATTGAGAAGCAGGCGAGGGAGCCTGCCTTTTTTGGCAACACGGGGCCTTTTGATTTCAGATGCTGCAAATCTTCAAGAACAGACACGGCGTGCTCGTGTTCCAGGCTGGAGGCCAGCAGCGGGTCAGATGGCGGGAGCCCTCAGCCAGAGACCCAAGGACTTCCCTGGGGCTGCACCTCCCCGGAAGCTGGAAGATGTGGGCGCAGGTTTGCCTTCTGAAACGTGCAAATGTCACCAGCCGGGAGGGGCAGATGCCAAGAGGCGGCTGCAAACAGATCTCCATCTGGTAATGGGCTCGGCTTCCAGGGACACAGATGAGAATAGTATGAAACAAAGTGGCGGAAGCACCGGCCTGGCTTTTCACATGTTGTTATGGTCTCTGGGTCATTTCCTGCCTTTGGAATTCACTTCCTGTCCAGGTTCAATAAAACCAGATGATTACAAGGCAGAGGTTGGGATTTTTCTTTGCCTCTGGCCCAGTGGAGGGGGGCAGCTCTGTGACTGTGAACTTGGCGGTGTTAGTCTCCTGTGCTCCTGTCTGCTCACACTGAGCCCAGGAGGGTGGAGCCGTAGGAATGGAACAGTAACGTAGGGACGGGAGCCACCTCCAAGTTGAGTCAGCTGAATCCCCTTGTTCCTGAAAAACAAAGCGGGAAAGAATAGACTGGGACAGGTGCACATGATGTTTGGGAAGGGGAGCTCTTGACTACAGGTCCTCATGTAGGGATGCAGCCCCCCTCGAAGGGAGGAGGCTGAAACCAGCTCCCCATGGCCCCACCCTTGACTTCCTAGAGTCAACCAGCAGGCCAGTTAGGAGAGTGACATTTGCTAAACAATGACCTGCTTTGTTTTTGTTTTATTGACTAGAGGCCTGGTGCACAAAATTTGTTCATGGCGGGGAGGGGTCCCCTCAGCCCAGCCTGCACCCTCTCCAATCCAGGACCCCTCAGGGGAGGTTCAACTACTGGTTTAGGCCCAATCCCAGGCTGTCAGACATCCCTCTCACAATCCTGGACCACTGGCTCCTAATCATTTACCTGCCTGCTGGCCAGGTCACCCCCAACTGCCCCTCCCTGCTGACCTAGTTATTTCTAACTGCCTCCCCCACTGGCCTGGTCATCCCTAACTGTTCCCCCTGCCAGCCTAACTGCCCCGCGCACACACACACACACACACCAGCCTGGTCGCCCCTAACTGCTGGCCTGGTCACCTCTTACTGCCCCTCCCTGCCACCCTGGTCACCCCCAACTGTCCCCTCCTGCTGGCCTGGTTGCCCCATGCAGCCTCCTGTTCAGTTGTTTGGTCTCCCCTCACTAACCCCCTGCTGACCTGGTCACCACACGCAGCCTGCTGTTCAGTCGCTTGGCCACCCCTCTCTAGTCCCCCTGCTGGCCTGGTCGCACCAAGCAGCCTGCTTGTTCAGTCATTTGTTTGTCCCTCACCAACCCCCCTGCTGACCTAGTTGTAGGCAGCCATCTTGTGAGGGTCAATTTGCATAAAACCTCTTTATAATATAGGATATTTATCTCCCACAGAAAAGAATTAAGGTAACAACGACTATCTTCTCTGTAGCATTTTTATCCTCATTTTTGGGGTGTACTGATGTGAGTCTTCATTGTAAATTCTCTCTGCAGCCCCCAGTATGTCTTTGACACCCTTGTAGTTCTACAGTGAAGAAGCCCCTACCTTCCAGAAGCCAGAGTGAACTCTCTTATTCCAAGGGCTATGGGAGCCAGTCAAAACAATTCAGAAGCTGCTGCCACCATTGTGTGTCCAAGTCTGAAAGGTTTGTCTCTCTAGAGAGTGATCCTCAGTCACATGTTCCTTCCGAAAAGCCAGCTCATGCAGCCCCTGGTGTCTAGAGGAAGCCTGTGGAGCCTGTTCGAGTCCAGAGCCCACCTCTCTCTAGACTGAGCGATCCCCAGAAATAAAGAACCAAAATTCCCCCACTCCCCCAACCCCCACCGCCTTGACAGAAAGCCAGGTTATTACTGTGCTCAAGAGTGAATCAAACCGACCTTTCCCAAACACTCTGTTTCATCGGGGACCCACAGAAGTGGTCTCCTGTGACATTTGCAGCGATGATTCCAACAACATTTAAGATGTTCCCCGGGGAAGTTGGCTCTATAAATAGGCAGGGTCAGAAATACCTGCAGGGGATGATTTCCGAAGCTCCAGGAAGTCTGCTCAAGGGCCCCAGCTTTCCCCAACTACAGACTGCTCTGGAAACCTACAGCATTCTGTTTCCAGAGTGTATTCCGGGGCTGGTAACTTTGTGAGTCATTGCATTTAAACTTTGAGGTGTGTCAGGGGGCCAGGAATTTGCATTTTTATCAAGCTCACCTGCTGATTTGGTGCACTTGGCCTGTGGCCCATACTTTGGAAAACTGTGCTGCAGAGAATTGTGAGTCATTGTCACATTAGCATGGCTTAACTGGTGATGTGGGATAGCACCACACCTGAATTCCAGGCCAGGCATTGGCCCTCTGTGGGCAAAACAAGTTCCTGCTCTCTACGAAAAGCCTCAGGACCAGAAGGCGACCTCTAAAGGTTTATTCGGGGGCTGGTTTCTAAAGGACGGTTCAAAGGCCTGCAAAGTATGAGGGTGGGCCCAAAGGGTCAGAGGGGCCAGGGCTTTCCCAGCATGCCCTGCGCATTCCCTGAAGCTCTGCAGTGCAGAAAGCCCTGGACACAAGGAGGAGCCTCTCCCCGCAGGACTGCAGTCTGTCTTGGTGTCTGAGGTCTTGGGATAAAAGGACACTATAGTAGATTCATCTCCTTTCTTCGCCCTCAGTCATTTACAAATAGGAAAAAGGGAAAGGAAGAAGAGATTTATTTAGTGCTTTATAAACACTGTCTTTTAAATTCTCAAATAACCCTTGTCTCCCTTTGAAGATGAGAGAATTGAGAGTCAAAGAGATTGAATAGCTTGCCTAAATTCCCAAGGTCATATGGCTCCTGAATGCTTGAGCTGAAATTTGAACTCTTGCCAGTCAAGGTACAAGTTCCATGTTCTTTCCACAAAACTACTCATAACCAAAAGTTTTGCTGTGGCCATTCTGAAGGCCTAGATGTTTCGAGACCCTCAAACTAAGCTTACCTCTCCCTGGCCATTATGCACACCTGTGACCCGCTATATTTCAGAATCTCCCCACACCCTTGATCTTTATTGCATCCCTGACCTCCAACCCCTCAGCCGTGCCCATTTCTTATCCCCACAACTTCCTGACCCCGAGGGGCAAAATTTGCTACCACCTCTGCTGGGCCCAGGAGGACTTTTCTAGTCACTGGCTTCAAGACCAGTCAGTGGATTTCATGGCCTGAGAATCCCCAAATGCTTAGGAAGCGTGTGTGTACTGACTAAAGAGAAACCCCTACCCTCCTTTCCTTCCCTCCCGCTGCCCAATCTCTTCTCAAAGAGCACAGATGGAGGAACCTTGAGTCAGCCCCTACCCTTCTATTAGTCAGCCCCCTCCAACCTCAACTTCCTAGTAATAGAGATTATTCTGGGATGCTGGGCACCCCCTAGTGGGAGTAATGGAGAGAGAAGAGAGATCGCTTTGATCTGTTCTCAGTAACCCACGCACCCCCCAGCTTCCACCCCTCCACACTGGCCTTTGCCTTCCAGCCCAACGCACTGTTCTTGGAGTGACTCATTGTTCCCAGGCGACTGGGCCTTTGGCTCCATAAAGCTCTCCCTGAGTTTACGGGCATTAATGCACTAAAATTAAGCAGAAAGCAATTCAGGCAGAACAGTAGGGGAAACTTCCTATGGTGACAGCTCTTGAATCCCTGTAATTCCTTATAAGGCAAACTGAGTAAGACCTAACTGCACCGAGCAAAACAATAGAGAATATCTTGGAAAGATATTTTTGGGAGAGGGGAGGGTGAGGGAAAGGCTACTTTCCTGATCCAAGATAAATGTCAATGCCCAAATTGGACACACTTACCTTGATTTCAAGACATGTTAATGCCTGGTGCTATAGGTCTTATAGCTCCACATTGCACCATTTTGAAATAAACAGACAAAGCCCCATCCCAGCAGAGGGACAATCCATCTGTAGATGTGGGACATTCTGAATATTTTTCACTATCCCTCCCTCTTAAAAGACCATGGCCGTAACCCTCATGACAGGGGATAAGCCCTACTAGTATTATGTTTCAATCAATAAACCATTTTCTGAGCACTTACACTCTCCAAGGCTAAGGTAAAATTGATCTTATGCATTTTCTGTCCACATCTATTATAGGTTAACCCTCCATCCAAAGAAGGGCTTTAGCTGTCTGTCTTCTCTGCACTGGGAGCAGCTCCCCGCATCCCCTGAAAATGTATGCCTGCACCAAGTTTGTCTCCACCCCCTCCCTGGTCAGGAGCGCCTCTCAGCTGAGCAGGTCAATGTCTGCAGTGGTGTTGAAACGACCAGAGACACTGACAGATGAGAGCCGCAGCAGCTTGGCAGCCCCACGTCCACTGACCTCGCTTGTTTCTAGCTGCAGCTTCCAAACCAGTGCCATTTCAAGGGACATTGACACAGCAGCCAAGTTCATTGGGGCTGGGGCTGCCACAGTAGGAGTGGCAGGCTCTGGGGCTGGAATTGGGACTGTGTTTTGGAGCCTCATCATTGGTTATGCCAGGAACCCGTCTCTGAAGCAACAGCTCTTCTCCTACGCCATTCTGGGCTTTGCCCTCTCAGAGGCCATGGGGCTCTTCTGCCTGATGGTGGCCTTTCTCATCCTCTTCACCATGTGAAGGAGCTGTCTCCACCTCCCATCGTTCTTTTTCCCGTGTCTTGTCTGCCCTGTATGCACCTTTTCCTATACCTCCCAGGCAGCCTGGGGAAAGTGGTTGGCTCAGGGTTTGACAAAAGGAAGACAAATAAATACTGTAATAATAAGAAAAAATAAAAATAAAATAAAATAAAATAAAATAAAAACAAAGAAGGGCTTTAGTAAAAGATGGGGAGAGCTAACATGTTTGAGTGCGTGAACTAAGAATTCTTCTGGGTATATTCACAGTCCAAATTTTAGTTCAATAGCTGATCATCTGCTCATGGGCAGATGTTAGCGAATCTGATCCTGTGGCCCAATACCTGTCCCCAGGGGATGCTACAATCACATAGCCTGCCACCTCTGTGTGACTTTAGTTGCTAGGGTCTTACCCGCTCCTGGGTTTGAGTCTTTGACTCATTAGTACCCATTCCCATTGACCTTCTCTGACAGTTCCCCGAAACCCTGATCATAGTGCTAGCAATCCCACTGCACGGTTTTCTCTGTGATGGCTCCTGCCTCATCTTGAACCTAGTTGCTCAGACCAGTGGTCGCCAACCTTTCACATCTCACAGACCAGCTGTGGTCCACGGACCACCGGTTGGGGATCGCTGGCTTAGACTGTCTAATCTCAGAACTGCTTACAAGGTTAAGCCTTTTCATGTCTTCTCTCAGAGCCATTTGATGATGTTCGTCTCTGTGACAACCTCGAATTGAAGAAGCGTCTCTCCCCTCAGGCACTTCCATTTCTGTGTTCAGATTGGCAGCCTTCCCGACTCATCAGAGGCCTCGGAGAATGAAACCTGCCATGGAGGCTAGAGGAAACATTGAACATAAGTGCACTGGGTATCTGGGAGAAAGAAGCAAGGTCAAGGACACTCCAGCTTGGTTGGCCTCTCTGACCAAGGCTTGAGAGCAGAAGCTGGGATTCCTTCCTGCATAACTTGGGCTTGAATTAAAGGCATTTTTTTTTTTTTTTTAAATCTGAAGATCTCTGGCTTCACTCTGGATGGAACACTCCAAGGGCGGAGTAAGGTCTCCAGCTGGCAGGAAGGACACGCTGACCCATGGCCCCAGTGCCTCGGCCAATCTGGGAAGAAGACACAAAAGCTGTGGTGACTTAGCTGAGCCACCTGGAGTGCTTCGGTCAGTGTGAACTGCGTCAGCTGGCCTTGGCTTTATGAGAAAGGGTAGTGGTGTGTTTATGTGCTCAGAGGAGAAAACCTCCTGGAGAGAGAATGAGAAATAAAAGTAATAAACCCAACTAGTGGCTGCTCTGGGTGGCTGGGAAAGAAGGAACCCTCAGACAAGGGGCCTCAGCTCTGACAGACAGAGATAAGGGAACTTTCACTCCTTCTACTTCTATTTTAGAAGAAATAAAAAGCAAATCATAAATCTAAAGATGACGGTCCATTCATCTGGGGAAAGAATTAAACAAGCTGTTACATTCCAAACAGATATGAGGACTGCAAAAGTGAAGACTTTTAACTGGTGAGAATGTTTCTTTCCTGAAAAAAATCACCAAAGATAAGGTTCCAAAAAATTACTTTTCAGGCAGGTTAAGAAGCATTCATTTGGGCTGTCCGTCACGAGCTGGATTCCTAGCACTGGATGCTTTCTAAGAAAAAGTAAAAGGTGAGCAAAGGAGGCTATTATGGGAAATTCAGGAGTGTGATCTGTTGATAAAGGTGGAGAGGGGGTGATACAGCTGATCCAGAGCTGCAACAAACAGAAAGCAATGGTTCTGCAGCTTGGGAGGTGCCCAGAAGGGATGGTGCCCCTGGTTTATACCTTTAAGAAACCACCAGTGAGCTCCCCAGGCAGTGCTCGTGGGCAGGGGAGAGGTCTCAGCTGTCCGCCAGTGCCTGCAGCGTTAGATATCTGTATGCATTATCTGCTCCTCTCCCCAAGGGAAGGAAGTTCTGTGCCAGCTGGAAATCTCCCAGGAAAGTCAGGTATGTAACTCTTGGATGCTGTCCAAGGAAACCAGGTGAGGGCTTGAACTCTGGCCAGAGAACCAGGGTGTGTACACCTGGGGAAGCTGGGTGGGAGTCGTTAGACTCCACTCAGGCAGGGGAGCACCGGGTGTGGCGGGCCCATGAAGAGTGGGTGTGAGCATTCCAGAGCCTGGACACTGTTTATGGGAGATGCTTCAGTAAATACAGAGCATGAGTTCCTCTGGCTGTCCTACCACCTTTTCTCCTGCTGAGTTTCTGATTCTTTTGAAGCTACAACATCAAGTTCTCAATAAAGCTGAAGCTGAGACATAGATGGGACACAATGGCCAGATCTGCAGCACAGAGCCAAGGAGATGAGGAAAACTTTTGGACCTGAAGTAGGTGGCTATGCTCCTGAATCACAACAATGAAAGTTAACTCCATGTCTTCATCCACTTCCTTCTCACTCTCTGGTGTCCGTGTCCTTTTGACCTTTTACTTTCCTTCTTGCTCTTTCTCCCACAGATTTCCAGTGGCCAGCTGGAGCCACTTATGGACCACCTCCCAACTCTGTGTTCAGTAATGCCACGAGGCAGCTTACCACCAGCTATGGTGGGAGCATTTATATTACAGAAAGAATAAATGCTATAAACTTGAGGTTTATTTCTTTTTTTCTGAATAGACAATTGTTAAAACATTTACCAGTATACCAGGCCTGTAACTGAGTTTTTACATGGAAGAGGGGCTGGTGAACTGAAGGGGAACAATGCAAGAAATTTGAGAGGCAAATGGTGAAGCCAAGTATCTAGACTCTAGATGGAAAGTGGTGGATCACCAAGATTGGTTCTGCCCACACACCACCCCAGCACAAACCTTGGATTCCATACTTAACAGTTGCTCAATAAGAACCTGCTCTTGCCAAAACCAGTTTGGCTCAGTGGTAGAGCATCGGTCTGTGGACTGAAAGGTCCGGGGTTCGATTCCAGTCAAGGGCATATACCTTGGTTGCAGGCACATCCCCAGTGGGAGGTGTGCAAGAGGCAGCTGGTCGATGTTTCTCTCTCATCGACGTTTCTAGCTCTCTATCTCTCTCCCTTCCTCTCTGTAAAAAATCAATAAAATAAAAAAAATAAAAAAAAAAACCTGCTCTTGTGTCTACAATGACATGTAGGCATTGTTTTCTGTTTATTTGGTTTTTTTGTCTTGTTTTGTTTATCTTCACACTTGAACATTTTCTTGAAGTTTATGGTGTAGGGTATAATAGGTACAGCTGTTGGTCCTTCTACCACAACAGCCATTGAGGAGTAGCAGCCATAGCTCTGGGCTACGCCATGGCCATGACCTCAAGTAGGGCCACAGGTGACCAAGAATGTGAGCAAGCTGAGGCCCAGCGGTTGCCATGGGCACCTCAGTAAGCATGCCAAGTTCGTGCAGGACATGATCCGAGAGGTGTGTGGCTTTGTCCTCCATGCGCATCACACCATGGAGCTGCTCAAGGTCTCTAAGAACAAGAGGGCCTGAAATTCATCAAGAAAAGGGTGGGGACACACATCCATGCCAAGAGGAAGAGAGGAGCTGAGTGATGTTCTTGCAGTCATGAGAAAGGCAGTCGGCAAGAAGGACTGAGCCCCATCCCTTCTGTGGGTAATAAAACCTGTTCAGGGGGCGGGGAAAAAAAAAAGAACAACTTAGGTCCAGAGTGTTTTTCCTATTATGGATTTAAAGTGTGTTCACATAGATTCACTTCCTTTCACTTCCTTCTAAGCACCCATATAATAGTACGTGTTCCCCTTCCCCTGTAACTGCTCCCCATTGACGGTTGTCTTCAACATCTTATGTCTTCCAAAAATATCCCTGAGCCGGATAATTATCATTCCCTCTAGAGTACAGTTTTTAAACTTTAATGTATGGGCAAACCACCAAAGGAATCTTGTTAAAAAGCAGATTTATATTCAGTAGGTCTGACTGGAGCCCGAGATTACCCATTTCTAACAAGTTCCCAGGTGCTGCCGCAGGTCACTCAGTTAGTGGCAAGGCTCCAGACTGGACATGTTAATCCATCTGCCTCTTTTGCTTGAAGAATTCCCATTACACCTCTGGAAAGGACAGTCTTCCAGGGAGATTGGACCAGTAGTGGAATCAAAAGCAAACAACCAAATCTATATGCCAAGTGGGGTTAGATTCTCTTTCAAGAATTTTAACTAGAAATGCTATCCTAGCCTGGATTCTCCACAAAGTAAAGCCTGAGATAGATGTTTGCACATAGTCGTTTATTTGGGAATCCCAGAAAACATGAGGAGTGAGAAATTACAGGGATAGGAAAAAAACAGTACAAAGATGTGATTGAACTGATGATCTCAAAGGGCATCAAGCACTCAGCCCTGTGAGACCTACTAATAGGCCTTCAGAAAGACTTCTCAGTACTGTCTCAAACATTTACCCAGCCTTTCCTTTATGAAAATACTGACTAAATGCTTCATAACCTTTATTTTCCAGTTTCCAAAGAATGACTTGATTCCTTAGCATCCTCTAAAAGTCACCAATAAATGTTACTTTAGTACAATCATGAACTCGTGGATGATAAAGATTACATGTAAAGTATTTAACACAAGTTGCATAGCAAGTCCTCTGCAAATATTAGCCATTGATATTACCACTCTTTTACTAGTAGTGCATTCTCATGACTTTTCCTATCATAATGGACCTGCTTGTTCATATAGAACTCCAACACCCATTGACTTCTTTGGGTTTACTTCTTGGCTTATACCCACCTACTGTAACTGGGGAGCCAGTCTGACACCCTCTTGGGTTTGTTCTGTTCATAAGGAGGGAATATGCTAATTACGGCCACACCCTCAAAGGTGTGCAAGTTAGGGCCTGACAGTCAGATCCAGTTTACTACCTGTTTTTTCAAATAAAGTTCTTTGTTTGTTTTTGTGGTTTTTTTTTGGAACACAGACACATCCATTCATTTACATATTATTTATGGCTGCTTTAGTGCTACAACATCAGAGTTAAATAGCAAAGCCTAAAATATTTATAGCTTTGTTCTTTAAAGAAAGGTTGCCAATCCCTGGTCTGTTCTACTCACAGACTATGTACCAAGTCCATGCAACAATCTCAGGATGGGTTATTGATCACCGGGGAGACCAGGTAAGGGTGGGAATGAATCACTGCCATCTCTTTCCATTTGAAAAACAATTCCAAGTACTATTAGTTAATTCAACCCTTTAAGAGCTGTGCTTTATATTATCCTTCTCTGAATCAGACTAGTTACATAGTCCATCATTTGGTAAAAGTCCATTCAACAAGCAAAACGTTAATAAACTTTTTTTGCATAAGATTAGTAGCTTGAGGCAGTGCACTCAGTGGTCCCAGATCTGTTTCTTACTTCAACAGTGTTTGGACGGAACAGACCCAGGAACACCCCTTCTTCCAGCCTCCAGAAACTCTCCTGCGTCTTATCCAGTCACCTCCTGGATAAGAACCACCTCTGAGACCAGCCAACACCTGGTTTCTTTTCTACCTTAACTCCTTATTGCCCAACAACCATGACCTTCCAAATTTGTCAGGTGGAGGCTGCGGTCAACCACCTGGCCAACCTGCATCTGTGGCCTCCCACGTCTACCTCTCTCAAGGCTTCTATTCGACCAGGATGATGTGGCTCTCAAGGGTGTGGGCTACTTCTTCTATGAGTTGTCAGAGAAGAAGCTCAAGGGCGCTGAGCGTCTCTTAAAGTTGCAAAACCAGCGCGGTGGCCACTTTCTCTCCAGGATGCGCTGAAGCCTCCCCAAGAGGAGTGGGCAAAACTCAGGGCACGTGGAAGCCACCCTGGCCTTGGGGAGGAGCCTTAACCAGGCCCATTGGGAGCTGCAGGCCCTGGTTCCACCCGCAGACACTCAGCTCTGTGACTTCCTGCAGAACCACTTCCGGGGTGAGAAGGTGAAACTCATCAGGAAGCCTGGCTACACCTGACTCACTTCCGCAGGCTGACTGACCCCCAAGACTGATCTGGGTGAGTATTTATTCGAAAGGCTCACCCTCAAGCATGAGTAGGAGCCTTTGGAGCCCAGAAGCCCTTGGGAGGCCCCTCTGCATCTCTCTGATGTCTTTCTTTCTCTCTTCTCCCCTCCCCATCCCTCAGCCTCTCCCCGAAACTACTTGCCATTCTTTTAACCACCCTGAAGCCCTCTCCCAAGCACTGGGCCGAATAAAACAATAAAGCTTTTTGCAGGGGGAAAGAAAAAAAAGAAATAAAAAAAAAGATTATTAGCTTGAAAACAGAAGACTGTTGCTAAAGGAATCTTTCTCTTATTAAGGGATTTTTATCAGACTACTCTAAAAATAAATTAGCCTTTCAAGTAAAAAGAAATGTAGACAGAATTTATCACTTTCATTTTCTCCACAAATATCTTTGACATGTTAATAACTACCTAATGAGGACAGACATTAGATGAATATTTATGATGGCCGTGGTTGATGAATATGATTCATGAACTATGCATTGAGTACTGGATTCAGAGTGGAGTCATGAGATATGGTTAGTCATTGTGATTGGATACACAATGAAGGACCACTTTATTTTAGGCCCTCCACCATGAGAATGCCCACGTCCACAGAGAACTTTCAGCTTCTTTTGTGAAATAGTCTTTCAGAGCAGAAACACAGGAAGTTACTTGAGAAGCTCTGACCAAATAACACAAATACTTTTATCATGTTCAGAGGTCAAGCTTCAGAAGCCTTCTGAAAACAACCCTAAGCCCCAAAGTACAAAAAGGGTGAGTGGAGAGGGAGTGTTTTGTTGGTGGTTTTTTTTTTTGGTTATGAAAACAATATAATATTTTAAATTTTTTAAAGAAAACTTCCCTTTAGTCCTGGGCCCTAAGATAGTTGTTTTCATTTTTAAGTAATTTCATTTAGTCTTCAACCAAGTGCATATCCATGTTCACATACAATTAACTTGGAGGAGAGTTTACCTATCAGGAATAATGGTTACAACACGCACAAGGCTTTCCCACAGCATGATCTTCACAGAGGTATCAGCAACACCATGTATGAGACCTTCCAGTGGCTCTCAAGCTTTGCTGCATGTGGGCATCTCTTGGAAATGTTTTTTAAAATAATGATGCTGTGGCCCCACCTGCCAAAAATCCTAATTTCATTATTAGCCTGGGGTGGGTTCCAGGGTTGGGTATTATTTTAAAAATTCCCCTTGTAATTCTAAAATGTTGATTTAGCCAGATGCCTTGAAGTTACAGGTCAAAGACTGAGGTCCAGGAGTGCATTTCAAGCCTGGGCCCTTTTCCCCAGCTAAAAACTTCCTTAAATCACAGTAAATGAATAGCTAGTTGAAGACTCTGTGTGAAAAAGGAAATTCCAGACTTTTCCTTGGATGGGCAGGTGGGAATGTATTCCATGGTTCTGAGAATAAAGATTGAGCCTCTTTCACACAGCACAGAACCAAACTTTCTTGCCATAGTCAGGATCTACCATGACACGAATGAGCAACGCTTAATCGGAGCTGTACCTTTGGCCTAGTTAGGAGATAGTGTCCAGATGTTTGTGATTGTGTTCTCTCAGCCATCCAGTCCTCAGTTTAATATTCAACAGGATGACCGCCATTATTTAGAATTCTCCCGAGGGAGCAGGCTCCAAAACCTAAGATTTGACACGTTCCCCCTTTCCTCTTTTCCATGTAGCTGGAGTTTAAAAATGCTTCTGTGTTGCCTCCTTCCTTTGGGAATTTCCTCTGGAGCTGGAGATTAATCATTATGCAAATATTAAAGCATTTGAAAGTTTGAGAAAGGAAGGGGATTTGTTTAAGCAAGGCCGTTGTGGTAGTTTAAATGAAAGATAAACAGCTGTTGTGTGTTGACCTGCATTCCAGTTCTGCTGAGCAGTTTGTGTGATAGGAAACGATATGTAAGTCTTCTTTGAGAGTTATGTGTGCCTTTGCCAAAACCTCTGGGTTCCCATAAGTCTCCACGTGGGTCGACCACCACCCAGCCTGTGTGTACTCCCTCTCAGACCGAAAAGGCTCTTCTGGGAAAAGGCAAATTAAAACATTTCTCTCTCAGAATGTTAGTCTGACTGAGACGTTATTTAGATTTTTTAAATAGCCTAAATGCCTGGGGTGATCTGAAAGGAAATGCAGCAGAGTCTCATGTTGCCTAATAAATAGGGCAAGTCATGCTCACTCAGGCACGGCCCAAAGGGAAAAACAAAGTCCTCACTCTTTACCCTGAAGGTCAAAACTCTTTGGCTTCACTTGTCATAGTCTCTCCTTCTATGCCCTCATGGATTTCTAAACAATGGACTGCTAGTTAATAATTCTTTGTATTAAAATGTCCCTGCTTAAATCACTGTGCACTTTCTCCTGATCTGACCCATACTGATACCGCCCTTCCTAGTCACAGAGTTCCCCAAGAGCAAAGGACATGGCTATGGGGCTGGAATTAGACAAGCAAGGCACACAGACTCATTGACTTATAGGGTCATTTGAGTGCAGGGTGGATGCCTGAAGGTGGGTGACTCCTATCTTCTGTCCCTTGTTTGCCTCCCCCACCAGTCCAGACCCTGGTGTGTTGTTGTTTTCCTTCTCTCTTCTCCCCTCTCCACCCCTCACCTCCAGAGTTTAGTTTAGCACATTCCAGAGGTACTAGTTAGTACTTGTTATGAGGTGAATGTTGTGTCCCCCTGCAAAATTATATATTCAAGCTCTAATCTCCAATGTGTGAGTATTTTGGAAACAGGGCCTTTGGGGGTAATTAGGTTTAAATGAGGTCATAAGGGTGGGGCCTTCATTTAGGTATTAGTGCCCTTTAAGAAGAGGAAGACAAAGATCTATCTTCCTCTCTCTTTTCCTCCCTCTCCCCTTCCATCCCTCTCTCATTCTCTCTCCCCATTCACTGAGGAAAGACCACATGAGCACACAGAGAGGCCAGGAAGTGGGTCCTCTCCAGGACCCAAATCTGTTGGCTCCCTGGTTTTGGACTTCCCAGCCTCCACACTCAGAAAAATAAATGTCTGTTGGTATTTTGATATGGCAGCCCAAGCTAACACAGTGCCTAATTACGATTTAATAAAAAGCTGAATTACCTTTTCTCTCTCAGAATAATTTCGCTAAATTCAGGTCAAGAAAAACAGTTAAGCCCAACTGGCATAGCTCAGTAATTGAGTATCAACCTATGAACCAGGCAGAGTTAGATTCCGGTCAGGGCACATACCTGGGTTACAGATTTGGTCCCCAGTGTGGGGCATGTAGAAGGCAGCCAACCAATGATTCTCTCTGGTCATTGATGTTTCTATCTCTCTCTCCCTCCTCCTTCCTCTCTGAAATAAGTAAAAATATATATTAAGAAAGAAAACAGTTGAGTCTAAAAATAGTTTAGCATAGTGTTCAAAAGTCAGATTTTAAAGTCTTATAGACCCATGTTCAACCCTAGCCCTGCTACAACCCTGATCTAGTTACTCTCTGTGTCTCAGTTTCTTTATAAAAAAGGTAGGGAACCTTTTTCTGCCAAGGGCCATTTAGATATTTATAACATCATTCGTGGCCATATAAAATTTCCAGCTTAAAAATTAACCTGCTATATTTGGTCAAACATTTAATTAACTCACCCCTATTACCTTGGCAGGGCAAGACCAAATGATTTTGTGGGCCATATACGGCCTGTGGGTCAGATGTTCCCCACCCCTGGTCTATATAGTAGACATTATAATAATGTCTGGTTCATAAAACTGTGGAAAGGATTAAATAAGATAATGCTTATAAGGGGTTTAATTCAATGCTCTCAAATATTAGCTTGTAGTGTTGATAGTAGGCTAAAATTACTCCCCATAAAATTAACCTCAGAATCCCCCTAAGTCTGAGTCACAAAATGAGGAAATAAAACCCAAAAGCCAGTATGTCAGTAATTAGTCTTTTGAAGGGGGTTCTAAAGTCAGAAAAGTTGGACATTGCTTCTCTTTGTCTCAAAAGCCAACATAAACCATATTTAGGAAGGAAGGTAAAAAAGCATAGCAATGGTGTCAATCTCCTTTAACATGACAGGAGATTGGATTAGAATAAATATTCAATCTGTCCTTTTTTTGTTTCCACTTCAAAAAAGCTGTAACTTTATTCAAATTCTACTCAGAGAGAGGGTTTAGTGCCTCTTCCGCATTCCAGGAATTACACTAATTAGTGAAGACTCCGGCAGATGGAAGGTCGTAAGGTATAGAGATAAGCATGTAAACAAAGCAAAGGTCATTCTGAGTGATGGTCACTCCAACTGTGGTGGAGCTCACCAGGGATCTGCAGGAGGGAAAGGGCAGGGACCAGGCAAGATCAGAGAATCCTTCCTAGAGGCTATCTCCTTATTGCTATTGCACCACTGAGGTAGAAAGGGAAAAATTGAAGGCATTACTTGAATTTTTTCAAGGGACTGGAGCAAGATGGGTGTTTTTGTCTGAAGCTAACTGTTAATGTATTTGGTCATTTGGAACTACTAATATTGACAGTGGAGCTACCATGCCTTGAGTAGCTACTATATCTGAAGTATTTTATATGCCTTAATTAATTTTCAATGCAATCCTTCTAAAAAACCCTGGAAGGTAGGACTCATTATCAACATTTTACAGATAAAGAAATTGAGACTTTTAGCCAGAATGGTGGGGCTGAAGCCACCTTCCTCAGCTCCGCCCTTGGCCTGCTACTGTTGACTTTGTCCAATTTTTAGAAATCTGTTTTTTGCTGTTATACAAAAAACATGCAGGGCCTATATAGAATATTTCTAAACCTAAGCAAACTTGACCTAAATTTCTCCATAAAACACTGGCTATTATAATAGGCCAGATTCAACCAGTTTTTTTTTATTCACAACTGAAAATTGCATTTTAACAGAAAAATAAATGTGCTACCCAAACCCAATCGATTTATATATCACATCTCTAGACCAGTTCTGCCAGTTTATTCACTGCAGCTATAAAGAATAATACAAGAAAATGTCCTTGGATTTTATACCATCCTTAGCCCAACAAGGAAAACTCCCAGCACAGAACTGGACCCAGCTCAGACAACCACCAAATATTGCTTCTGTCTTCCTTCCCTCCTCTGGTGCAAACAGCAGAAATGAAACAGGGAACTGGGCAAGCAAATCAGGAGAGAACTCCTATCCAAAGACAACAGGATAGAGAATTGCAGGCTTATCACCCTCAGCCATGGTTCATGGCCCTCTCCAAACCACCTCTTGAGAGATGCTGTTGCCAGCCACAGTTTCATCCAGGAATTGACCTTGGCCCAGAGCCTTCCATTCACTTGTCCAGAAACTCTGCATACCAGAGAGGTCTTTCCCAGCCAATAGAGATACTCTCTATCCTCCCTTCAATGGAGCCCAGAGAGACAAGAATAGCCTGGGGGTAACTGGAAGTTATAGGACTAACATGGGAAAAGTGGGCGGAATAAAACGGGAGCCCCAGAACAGCTTTATAAACAGCCCCAGGGAATGGCTTTCAGGTGGAGGGAAGCAGGCATGTCTCTCATGATGAATGGACCTAGATTCTGGTACTCCAAAAAAAGAATTTGAAAATACATTTCCTGACTTGGGTAGGAATAATAATGAAATGACAAGATGACTATATGCTGAGCACTCTACCTGATACATAGGAAGTACTAAATAAGGAAGAGCTGCTGCCCTGGCCAGTGTGGCTCAGTTGGTTGGAGTGCTGTCCTGTGCACTGAAGGGTCACAGGTTTGATTCCCAGGCAGGGCATATACTCAGTTTGTCAGTTCGATCCCCAGTCAGGTTCATACGAAGGCAACTGATCAATGTTTCTCTCTCACATCAGTGTTTCACTCTCAGTCTCTCTCCCTCTCCCTTCTACAATCAATTAAAAAATATTCTCAGGTGAGACTTTGAAAAAAAAAGAGCTGCTGCTATTATTGTCATTAAGATTTTGCTCTTTAAAATTAAGACTAGTTTGTTAAGGATGTGATACAAGTGCAGAGTGTCCAGGTATGTAAGGGGGGGCGGAGGTGGATATTGTGGTAGGTTGAAAATGGCCCTCCCAGAGATACCAGTTCTAATCTCTGGAACTGGCAAATATTACCTTACTTTAAGAAAGAAAGAAAAAAAGTTTGCAGATGGGATTAAGTTAAAGATCTTGAGATTTTTCTGCACAGATCATAAATGTAATCACAAGCGTCCTTTTGAGAGCAAGGAAGAGCCGAAACCGGTTTGGCTCAGCGGTAGAATGTCGGTCTGCGAACTGAAAGGTCCCAGGTTCGATTCTGGTCAGGAGCATGTACGTTGGTTGCGGGCACATCCCCGGTAGAGGGTGTGCAAGAGGCAGCTGGTCGGTGTTTCTCTCTCATCGACGTTTCTAGTTCTCTATTGCTCTCCACCAGTAGTTGGACGATGCAAGGAACGGAATCTCTCCTGGAGTCTCTGGAGGGAGCCCAGTCCAGTTAGCACCTTGAATTCAGCCCAGTGATACTGAGCTTGGCTTTCTGGCCTCCAGAACTGTGAGAGAGTACATTTCAATTGTTTTAAGCCCCCAAGTTTGTGGGATAGCAGCCATAGAAAACTAACACAGTTACTTAGTGGCTTTTCATCCTATGCAAGATTCATCAGTAAACTGTTGTCCATCATGAGGCCTAGCTAATGAGTATTTTATTAGATTGTGCCAGTTCCAAAGGTATAGACCAGTGGTCTGCAAACTGGGGCTTGTGAGCCACATGCGGGCTCTTTGGCCCCATTGAGTGTGGCTCTCCAC